CATTCCTGGAAGGAGTCTGGAAGATTCAGGCAACACTGAATGCTTCATTTTATCGCGTGGGTGGAAAGAGCAGCGTAAGAGTATAACAGACAATTCAGAATTTACAGTTTATCCTGTAGCAGTCACTCTCAGGTGTATTCCAGAGTGTTCATTGTGATCTAGTTAGCTACAACTTGAGAGGTTTCCAGCCTCCTTAACTGCTTTGTACTAACATCTGCTCACTGAGAAGGGAAATCATCGCTGCATTGGACAAGTCACTTGATTTTTCAGAAGATGTAAACTCGGGGAATTTTGCTGTCAGAGATCACTAGATACCAAAATGCACAAACATAATTCTGTAAAACCATGAGAATAGTCTCATCACTATAGACATGACACCAGGACATCAATGAGCTTTTTCCAGCGAGTGTGCTCTTGGACCAGGAAAGTACACCTTATAACAGTAATTTTTGTTTCAGAATAAAGGAATGTCTATGCAAGTGTTGTTGAATTTATATGTTTCCAAAACTACAAGAAAGAAATGTCTGTGAAAAGCTCTACTGTTTAGTAATACAGAAGGACTCCACAGCAAAATTATAATCTCCGTTTTTCTCTTCAGGCAGGTAACAGTTCCATGTTCGCTTCATAAATGAAGCAGCTTTAAGCACGTTCGTATTCCTTCTGGAGTGACAGACTGAGTCTGCATCTGTTGTTGCTGCCCATGACTCCATAGACCTGATATAGAAATGAGGACAATTTGTGTTTGTTACTGTGAAACCAACACTGAATTGAACAACGACAAGAAGAGTGTGCACTTAGCAGGACTGTATCTCATGTGAATATCTACCTTGTGTGGCATTTGGTGATTTTTAATTGCATTAGTGCTTGCACCTGACTCTGGCAAACAAAGTACATCCCGAACAAAAAGCATCTTTCAAATGCCTCCAACTATGTGTAATCATTGAAAGTCATAAATACCTTTGCATCCTTAATTTAAGTTCTGTGTCCTCTACCTTACCTTGATGTCTTCAGATGGAGTTCTCTGAACTGATAGAAAATGCAGAAATGGATACAGATAACATGCTCTTCAATATTGTATATAAGACTTGAAAGCAAAGTCATGCTGTGGACCCATGTTCTAGCCTTTTACTTATAAGGACCTGTGTTTATGCCTGGCAAAGGTCGTGTGTACGGCAACATGTGGTCTCTGTCAGGTGTCAGGTGGCTGCTTGCCCACCCCAGAAAGCCTCAAGAATTCCTCAGCATTGGTGGTCTCTGTTCAGGAGAAGCAAATTCTGGATGAAGACAAAGTAAACAGGAGGTGAATGTACCTTGTGGAGCTTTGAAGCATTAAGAGTAACTTCTGGGTATGTGAACACTGGTGAAATTTCCAGACATGCCAAGGGAAGGGAAAGTAAAGAGTCTGAATTGCGTTCAAACATCAGAATAAAGACAAACCCATGAAACGCATTTTAATTGCTGAAGATGCATGCCGTTGATACCTTGTCTTCAAATGTATAGCATAGAAAATCTGAAAGATCCTGAGAGTATATTTAGCTTTTACTTACATCAGCTGTAATTAATGTTTGCATTGTGTTTTAAATAATTAGTAAGCTTTAATATCTTGTCATATGCCACTCTTAATTCTCTCAAAACAAAAGAGAAAGGCTTTATTTCCCACTTGTCTTCTGCATCTATTGCTGTTATTGCATCCATGGAATCTGTACAGGATTGATGTACAGACATGCATTTTCAAGTAAATCCTAATAATATCGTGGTAAAAGTTACAAGTGTAGTTGTGCATCTTTTTTCCTGGCTCTTTCCAGATAATAGGTATGAATTATTTATCTGTATTAGGGGTTTGTACTTCAGAAGGTAAAGGCAGCTCACTTCAGATGACAAACTGTCATCTATCATCAAACTGACCAGGTCAGCAAGAGTTTTAGTTTCAGTAACTTGAAAACTTAAAAAAACAAAACAAACAAAACACCACCCTTTTAATGTTTTGCATAAATTTGGAGTTCTCATTAAAGTATAACATTATTTAATTTTTTAAGAATTCTTGTGGCAATTTTAATCATCTGCTGAATTTTCTGAGAATGGTGCATGAAAAGAATATGACATACATATAATATATACGTACGTGCGTGTGTGTGTGTTGTTCGTAAAACTGATTCATCTTTCATACATAACAAAAGAAAAAAACCTCAAAACCTTACTATGTTTGCTGATAGAGCTTAGGAGTTCATATAGCCACTCTGCCTGGAATTTTGACCCTACTGAGATCAATGTCAAAATTTCTCGTGAATTCACTGATACAAGGATTTGATCATGTGAGACTATTTTTTGTTTATACTGAGGCCTTTTTGCACTTCCTGGGCACCAGAAAAGGGTCCTCAAGTCCTGCTCAGCTGATATAAATTAGCATAGTTCCATTAATGTTAACAGAGCTTTAGAGTTTGCATCATCTGAGGAACTTCTCTTAGACTAGATCAAAAGAAGCTTAATGTGAGAATTAGACCTTTGTTTTTTATTCAGAAGATGCTGGAGCACTCACCACTTAATAAGAAATAATCAAGGTTGCTCATCACTTCTAAAAAGCAAGTGCATTGCAAATTTTAGCTCTGCAAAAATCAACAGAATTCCCCATCTGCAGCTCAGTCTCATTTGACATTGTGTAGTTTTTTTACTCACAAGGCCCTCAGACTTTGTGTTTCAAGCTTATTTAAGAGTCACGCTGAAATAAATGTCAGAATGACCTAACTGATGGGAAATTTTCACCTTACTGGTGATGCAGAGAGTAACTGCGTATTGATTTTGACAGAGCGGAAAAGTATCCACAGTAAATGGAAGCAATTATCCTTATGCATTTTACAAAACCCTTAAATACTTTATGTTGCTACACAATACTTTCTCAAACCAACCTTATGCATTTGGAGTTTTACAGTATTTTTCTTAGCTTTGGTTAAACAAAAATCTAGTATTTATTAATGTTCTTTGTTCATAAGAATGTTATTTTTTACTAAATGCTAGTTTTTTCCAGAAAATTGAATGCACGATAACGTTGCACATTGGTGTGCCCCAAATTATAGTTTGACATTCAAAATGCATGATGTTTTAGGCTCCTTAGTCTAGTGTTCAATAGTAAGAAAATAGCAATTTTAAATTGAAACGTATGCTAAATCCAGATAGACTCCTGCAAAGTGTTCACCTTCCAACACTAACATCTTAAAATGGTATCTAAGTCACTTTCAAATAATGTCAGATACTTTAATCTTTTCTGCAGAGCAAGGCAAATTGAAACTACATGAGAACAGAAATATACAGAGAGAGAATTCATGTATTAACCTTCCGATTTCACATCACAAACATTGTTCTTTGAATATGCACCAAAGTAGTGTGACACATGGAGCAGCAGAACTGTTGTTGGAGCTCACGGTTTTCCTGTTCTTTTGAGAGATCTGAACAAAACATGAGGTGTTCTCAATTATTTTGCAAAGTAGAAGAATCTTCTAGACATTTGTGGATACAGCGGATGGCGTGGTACTTGGAAACATGCTTGTGAAATTATTTGAAAATTTTTGTGCCCAGTTTGTCTGCCCACTGAGGAGGCTCTTACTTCAGATGTAGTGAAATTTTGAAAGGTTACTGACTTGTGAGATATCTTTGAAATCAATAGAAATCGAGTAAGTTACTGTTCAGTGGCAGTAATGATGGCAGAAATAGTCTCTTAATTGCTTCTTTATCCAGTTGTAAGCTATTAAACTTCTGAACAGTTACAGTTTTGCAGTCTTCTTTTTGGGTAGACAACCACCCATTCATTAACACAGTTAGAAAATGAATGCCCTTTCTCTAAAACTGAAATTGGGGAAAAGCGAGTGTTGTATTTTTAATATGAAAGTCCCAAATTTGGTTTTCAGATATCTGTGGTTTTGTGAGAAACTAACATTTTTAGGTTTCCTTTGGAGTAGTTGAACTTTGCATGCAATTAATGGTGGCCTTGCGAGAGCAAAAAGCAGATAGTGAGTCACTCAGTGTGCTACTTTAGGTGTGTGTTTACTTGAATAAATTGGTGGTACTTATTTCATCACAAGGTCGTTTTATCTGTAAGCTTATAAAATGTGCTATACCATGCAGTATGTGTACAACCTGCACATTTTTTAGATTCTGATCTTCACCAGCTCTGTTTTCTCTGTTGCTCTCTCTTTGTAATACGCTGAAGCTGTTCAGTACACACAATACAACTATTAAGTTGAAAAGCTAACCATATATATAAAATACAGATATTTTGAGTTAGATTTACATTTATGGATTATCCAACATTCTTCAGTTCAGGAATCTGATTCAACTGTCTGTTCAATGCAGATCTATAGTAATGGTGGCATGTTGATATTATGTTATC